ACGAGGCAAGATGCCTCTCGAGTACAAGGTGGCGAGGCGGTGGAAGGCAGGCGGTAACGAGTACTTACCTCATGCCCCCCATGAATGCAAGGAGGTGCGGAAAGGAAAGAAGAACGTACCGAGAGAGAAAGAAAAAAAAAAGAAAAGGAAAGGAAGAGAGACGAGCTTAATGCAGCCTGGCACGCCTGGCAGGCAGGAGCAACTGCCTGTCCGCCGGCCGCCGTTGTCTCTCTGTGCCTCCATTTTCTTCTTTCCCAGGCGTCAGGCGTGCCAGGCTATTTCTGCTGCCCGCGCGTGCCTGAACACCTCATTACATAAGCTGCAAGAAAACTGGGATCAAGATCTGGAACAAAACCGTACGTTCCGCACTTTATCCCACCGGCACTTTGCTGCGTAACTTCCTTAGGTACCTTAGTCTGCGCCTACCAGCGACCAGGCGCTCGACGTTCCTCATGTCAGATGTACCTCAAATTTCCCCCGGTTCTGTAATCCTACTTGCGATAGTAGTGTAGCGAACGAAAGTGTATTTGCTGGGTCTGCGCCGTTTATTCCCACTCCTTCGAAGCAATGCGATGGTGGACATTGCCTCGAGTTCCTTGTCCGCGGCGTGTTCTGAGGTACAACCTAACTGTAAGTATACGGAGAAGGTACATACATACATGCTGAAAAATCACCTGCACTACGCCGTCGTGCATAGAAAGAGACTGGTGGGCTATCCATACGGAGGTGCACCGTACTGCAAGACCCGGTATCCACCAATGAGGCATGGGCTTATGGGGTCGCACCTGGAAAGTCTCACCATCAGGCCGAACAGATCGGCGCGTGGCCTCAGGGATCCTTCCCACCAAGCCAAGCTGTTTTGGGCCCGCACCTTCCCTGCAGCCACGCAGTGGATCCAGATGGGCCCGCGTCTTTCTTTGGCGGCATCACGTTGCTGCCACGCAGAGCCACCACACCCCCTGCTCCTTCCTGCCCTGTGAACTGATCCTGCCACCTGCCGCCCCTCCCCTCATTTCCCCTTCCATCCTTTTTGGCTGCCATCTTACCCACTTACCAAACGCTGCTACTCCATATACCCTATGGATACGCAGGCTCAGGCTCACCAAAAGTAACAAATTTTCGACACAACCACGTTCTCGACGCTTCAAGGTCGGGATGCTCGTCGCTCATTGATCGTCACCATGCAGGACATCCAAACCCAAAATCGCCCACGCCACCTCCAACCCTCCCCCGGACCCCTACGGATACTTACAATACCACAGTAATCATCTTACTCCGGAGTCCATCGTGGCGCATCCTATGGTACCCGTAACTAACCTTCCTTTCTAACTCACCTGCTGAGTGATTGAAGGAAGCCCTGGCACCCCCAGCCGACCGGCAACGTCGTACTGTGTACGCTACCAATCGACACGCGCTATCATCTGCGCCCATTGACATTCTGCCCAAGCACGGCGTCACAGTATCCTACTACCTACGTAAGATACACCACCTTGCGTTAGCCTACGAATGCTTCTTTGGCTTCCGCACCCGTCCCCTCACTTCACCTCAACGGGCTGGTGCGGGAAGCCCAATACGCATCCGACGTCATCCAATGTTTGTCTGCACTGGCATGGTCAATCAAGACTGACAGAGACTGTCGGAGTCAGAGCATCTCCACCGTTACTGCGATGCAGTAGTCGTATCTGGGAGCCTCTGTTTCTTCACGATACGAATACTTCACCTCGAATCCACCTCACTGGACCACAAGGGCGGCGTTTTCCCCGTCGGCGATTCAGGGCGCCTGAAACAACCTGACGGCAATCGAAAAAGTCACTGCCACAATACTGAGGACAAACCACGACAAACGCAAAATATCAGAAAACACAATTCAATCGGCAATCCTCTTCGGCAATCCTCTCGGATGTCGCACTACATTTTCTTCTTCAACAATCTTCACGGTCGTGCAAGTTGCAACACATTTGCTCGTGCACAGGCACTCTGCTGTTGACAAAGGAGGGCAACATAACAGCCTTTTTATTGGTACTCCTTTGGCAAACCCAACCTCACGGTACCCTATCTTGACACCAGAGAGAAGCTCACTGAGCCCGCCTATCCGTACAGCTCAACGGTCCGTACGGGGCCTTGCGCATTCGATACCTTCCCTCGGTGCTACGCTTTCTCAGTCTCACACATGTTCGGATACGCTGAGCTGGCTGATGGGCGTGTGCTCAGGTATCCGCAGACGCAACCTGGAAATGCTCCATACACGTAGACTTCGGAGTCACCGTAATGATGGAGGAGCTGCCAAATGGGCCCTCCGTGGCTCGTTATTTCCGACAAAGTTGCTTTGGTGCCTTGGTCCCTGGACGCCGATCCTTACCCCCTTGGCAGTCGGAGCCGTGCATCCCCCAAAACGCCCACTCGGACGCCGGCTGCCAACCAGGTCTACCTTTGCAATTGACAAACAAAGGGTGGATGGAACGCTAGGCAATAAGCAGCCTCTCCAGGCTCATCTACAGCTTAGCGCTTTGCTACAGACGTCATCTTCGACTCCATGATCTCGTCCAATCAGCGATGATAGGCTACATGGAGACCAATGTGTCTATCATTTCACGCCGCAAGCTTTGGCCTCTCCCACCTTGCAGATACTCAAGGGAACATCAATAACGAGGCGCTTCAGGCTATTCGAACTTCGGCAGTGACCGGTCGATATCTAGCTTTTTACAGCCTACGAATTACAGCCATGCTGCTATCATCATACACGTTTCATTGCGACCTCTTATGCCGACTACAGCCTACGCAGGTACAAACCCTGCTGAGCCTATAACCTGGCTCGGCTGTTTGTCTACCGGCCCGCTACCTAGCAGCATATCCTTGTAGCAACAAGCCACGCGTTGACAGCACAGAGACAGCGGGTGCTACGGATAGGTTCGCTCCAAGATTTAAATGGCCTATCGTTTCTGTGATAACGGGGTTGGTGGGGTTGAAGGATACTTGCAGTCTTGCACCGCTAGCTGACGTCCACTTTGGAGTTCCGCACAATAACGCCCAACCTTCTAGAAGCCTTCGTGGAAACACGAGCTAGACACCCCCAGGCCATACAGGGGTCGGTGACTGCGGTTTGATTCAAGCTGGATGGGTCTCACCTCTCAAAGTCCCATAACGGAGGGGAAGGCAGCCAGGCAACCTTGCTGTGGAATATCACAATGATGACGAAAAAGGAAGATGGGTCCTGCTTACAGTTAGCTAGCTTGATCAGTCCTTTTGGAAAGCCGAGACTTCTAACCTTCGCTTGAGCCAACCTTGCTATCTCTCGGTTTCAAACGTCTGACGTTTCGCTCGCTGACCTCCCGCGTCTGTCCCTGATATGGACACGAACCAAATTCTGGCAGCGATTGGGCAGCCAAACCTTCTGCACTGCTGCAGTACGTGAACCTTACACTCTTTCTGTATCCACGTCGGATTTCAGATCAAACGAAAGCCCGCGGACGCCCGGCGCAACGGATCAACTTTGTTATGCCCGCAGCACACCATCAGAAGTTGAAGATGCGAAAGGCAACTAGACATGCAAGGCATGGTGGTTGCTAGACCACTCATCGATCTCGGCTTGTTCCTTCCCTCGCGGCGCATTATCGCGGGCAATGGATTTGTGTAGAATACACACGCACGCTCTCTCGTCTGTCAGATTGATCCTATAACCGGCGGTCCTACGGATATGGGTTTGCGTTTCATCCACAGTGAACAATGTCGCGGTACTGCTAGATGAGCCTCGGTGCCAAGAGCACACATCGCTGTAGCCACCCATTCACCAGACGTTGGTAGTGCGCAATCCTCGACTTTGCGTCAAAGATAGGTTCACACGTCGAAGGCTGCTATCACGGGTCAAATTTCGTTGGGGGTACTCCCTGTCCAGGGAGCTACCCATGATAGGCCGCTACTGTGTACACCAATCTTCAAGCAATATCGCAGCGTGAGGTTCGGATACCTCTACCCATTTCGCTTTCCCAGGCCCTACGGGTCGCGGCAGTGTGCACCAAGCTCAATACGGAGTAGAGGAAAAGTCGACACCTGCCAAACTGCGGCTTGCGGACCGAGATTCCTGACACAGTGCCAGCACGATTGCTCAGTCATCAACATTCTGCAACATTCGTCACGATTCGCCTATCCGCCCAGCGCTCCGCATTCGAGCCCATGATGCATTTTCACACGGATACCTGTCGAGAACGCCATCTTAGGGGCAGGCTTTCGGTAACGAAATGTAGCCTCAACGAGTTCCTACCATCAAGCCAGAAGTCTGCATCGACGATTCGACATGCTTCCTCCCAACAGGAGCCCGAATGATGAAATGTGGAGAAACCTGGCAGCGCCATGTGGCGCTCACCCAACACGTGTCGAATCTCGTGGCTAATCAGCCGAAAGCCGTTTCAGAGGCATCTGAGACGCGCTGGCGATTAGAGGCTGGAAGGAAAAAGCAAAGAAAAAAGGAGACAGATTAAAGACACGGCTCATCTTTCGCGGGGCCGATAGGAGTAGCTACGAAGCTACCCGACTTGACGCCTCGTGTGGCCTGGCTCGGGGCTGATGCTCACCATCAGGTGCGTACGGCTGATCCTACAGCAAGAAAAGACTCAACGGCCTAGCTCAGGGCTAGCGATCTTGGGCGTCGATCGTCCCATCACCGAAGTAATCATTGAGTGTTCCTCAGTCATAGCACTATCGAATATCCCAAGAAAATAGAGAGCTATTTGCTTCTGATTGATCTACCCAATACCAGCACGACAACTTATTCGTTCGACGTTGACTTTACATGGGCCGTTGCAAAACCCCACAATGCGTCAATTTCCACAAACTTGAGGGAAAGCAGTTACAACTTGCTGCTACGCTGCGCGCGTTGGTGGCAGCTGCAGTTGCTGGTCGAGGAAAATCTCCCGCGGCTGACAGGGAGAAGGCCGCATAAATCACTCTGGATCAAACAATCCCCACCTCCTCCTTTGCATCACGCGCATATCCAAATGGATTCCATGCTAGGGGGCGCGAGAAGTACTCGAGATGGAGTCGCGAGATCGTACGATGGGTGTCCAGCGGTTGGAGATGCCCTGCCTCTCGTCAGTTTGCTCACCCCCCCCCCCCCTTTATATCCACGTGGATATCTCGTGAGGGGGCTCTGCAATTTCTTCTCCCGTTTCTGCCGTCAATCCAGATGCGGGGTGGCTTCCGTCATTCTGCAGCCACACGTGTGTTGGGAAGGCTTATCTCGAACGCTTGTTTTTTTCTTGCTATTGTTCATTCGTTGGGGGTCAACCCTGAGAGCGTGGCGAGCTCCCGCACTTTGTGTCCATGACGCTACGGGTACAGCTTCATTGTCTAGCGAGCGTGCGACCTGGTGCGAGTTAGTCGGCATCTCGGTTCATTAGACTCATTAACGGCTCAGGAGAAACGTTTACTGCAACTTTCGGCATGGCTAGTCCCTACGCAATACAGCGCCAATATCAATGTCATCTGTACGGATATTGGCAAGAGTCATGATACGGTAAACTTTGCGCGCAGGCCCTTGCATATCGAACGAAGTCAAAGAGCTTACCTTACCGGTGCCGTTCACCCATCGGGCGTCAAACCAGTTCGTCCTATTGACCACAAACCCTGTCCACAACACAATCCTATTGATAAGCGCGCGATCCCGCTTCTCCGAAGCGAGACAACCTGTCATCGACTTGCAGATGTCAAAAAGTTCAAGTGCCCCAACTATCCCGGTCTTCGCCTCTCGGCTGAATGGCATGCACGATCGAGCGCCTCATTTCATTTTCAACTGCCACACTCTGCCTCTAGTGGCTGTTGAGACGACGCGAATGTCGACTCAGCTCGCGATGCTACTTTTTTGGTGTAGTGAGTACAGGCACGAACCGTACGATGCGTTTCTTGGCCCGCCTAGCGGTAGCAAACATCGCTCCGTATACTGTGGGAAGCTTGAAGCAAAAGGCAAAATTCAGAAACCAATGCCATATTCGGGCTGGCTCGGTCTCAGAGGTGGAGATTGCCACGTGGCTAGGCAAGCCACACGGAAATTCGAACACGATGTTTCCAGGGCCCTGGTCATAAGGAGGATTTGGGGTTGGGCACACCTGGGGTTAGGCTGGTACGCTGGCACATGGTAGGCTGGGCTGGGAAAAAAGGCACAGAGCTGACGCCGCTTACTGAGACGAAGAGACGTTGACTATGAGCAAGGGGGCCCAGCAGCTGACGATTCTCAACGACCTGTCTTCCCCTAAAGTCAATCACTGTCACCGAGACCTCGTCCGGTTGGCCAATAACTACCTTGAATATCGTTCATCATGTGCGGTTATAATATCAACATGACAGGCACGGCCCCCAACGACCGAACGACCGACCGGCTGGGCCTGGAGTCACTGGATTTCACGAGATTGAAAGAGAGCGGAAATGCTCAACTTCATCGGGAGCTATCGCCAATCTCGCGCGGTCCAGTGCGGTCGGCCACCGGCTACCGGCTCGGCCGATCAAGCGTGAAACCAGGGAAGCAGCGCAGGAAGCAAGAAAGACAGGGTGCGGCAACGGCAAGTCGGAGGCGGCTTGCTTTCCTCGCACTTGATAATGCATGCCCACGGATGCTGCTAGATTGCAGCCCCGATGGGAAATCGCGGGACCAATATCTCCAATGCCACATGGCAAGGGACCGGGAGCTCCCTTGCCATCTTTGTCACGCCTGAGATCGGTAGTTCAGGCGGCGGTTTCCTTCTCCTTGGCCTTGAAGAGCGAAGCCGCACAATCTCATGTCACACAACTCCTGCGCGCGCGCACGCGTCTGTCTTCGTCTTTCCTCGGCATCGAGGAGATAATAGCGGTGTCTACTCCGTAATCCCCCCATCCCCTCTTGTAAGCTTGGAATCGGGAAGGGGGCAAACAAACTTGGAGGATGCAGTTTGCAATAGTGCCGCCCTCTCCGGCCCAGGCAGACTCTAGAGATGGCTAGCCTGATCCCTTACCATACGGGATTCGGAAAACAGAGACGTCCATGAAATCTAGCGACAACGACGATGACAGACCTCAGGATTTCAAGTCGACGGCATGGTGCCCTATTGGTTGTGGTTTACGTACGCGATATACATGTGCCAGTGAGACACGCAGAAGGATGGTTTGGAAAAGCTCGAGCATTTTGCGGCTCGATAGCCAATGATGCCATCCAAACAATCGCATCACATAACAACTCTGTCTTGGGATGCCACGAGTTACGACTTTTTTTTCAATCCCTACCCCTGCCACGTCGGGGAGACTCCCGGGCCAGCGAAAGAGAGACATGAAAAGGCAAAATAGGCTCTCCTCAGTTTTGCAGAAGGTCAAGACAATGGCTGTTGTCCTCGCTACCGCCCGATAGAGAGAATACATCGTAACCCACCTCAGGTTGCCAGGACACCGGGTCCATCGTCGCTTCTTTCCTGTGAGCAGAACCGAAATGGATACAGTCAATCATAGATCCTGAAGGTTCGAAACCTATTTCCCTTTACGACCCTGAATCAGTCAACACCGCCTTTTTCCAACCCCGTCCGTCCCCGCTCCCGGTTCGTGACAATCGGAGCCATAGGTGGTTACACACCCCCATGGCCCATGTCAATATCCATGCGTATCCCATAGGTAGCACACAGTCCCGTCTCTGGGTTGCGGTTTTGAAGTACCGAACTCACACACTCTGTCTCACCGCATCACTGCTACCTCTGTACGGACACACCAGACGAAGGCAAGGCAAGGGAGGGTACGGATAGGGCAGCGGCTTTCTCGGCGGGCTTCTAGGCGATCGGCACCCCTCCGTCGTACGACACGACGACGGATATCTGGGCTCACCCTCTCCACTATCCACAGCCTCCCTCCGAGGCTGGACAGGCAAGGGAAGTTTGACATGCCATGGTATAATGGAACTCCTGTACACGGTACATAAGTGCCGATATATGGGCGTCGCGTCGCTAGCAGAAAGAGAGAGGCAGAGCCTGTAAGACGTGGGGATCGTCCACCTTAAACTGCCCGACCTCATCTCCCAGGACTTGTTTGAACTTGGTTGCCGGTATCCATGTATACTACTAGGCTCTCTAGGTTCCGTTCGGGGACCAGAAGGGGACCAGAAGGGGACCAGAAGGGGACCAGAAGGGGTTTCGTTTCATTGAAGAAGCCTCACAAATTGCCAATTAGGGGTGACGGTGAAGGAAGGGGGGATTCAGAAAGGCTAGAAGGGGCTTTTCGTCGCGCGCTCATGATCTCATCCGAGAACCCGCATTTACGTGGCTCCCGAGCCCCCCCTCAGGTCCCCCCGTCAAGGACCCGTCAGGAAGGGGGAAGGCTCAAGGGAGGTTCTATCCAAGTTCTAGAATGCCATTAGAAGGTTGAGCTTAATCCCACGGCAAGTAGGGGGGGGGGCAGAAGAAATCTCCCATTCTCCAAGGGGATTACTGCCACAGCTCAGGGTTTTGTCATTCCTTTTTGGAAATTAGAAACCCATAAGTTGCGCGCGCGCAAAGCTACCGAGCCATGGACCATGGCTAACGGCAACAGGAGCCCACTCCCCATTCCCAACTACCGGGACGGGATGCTGACTACCAATCTCTCTGGTGAGATTACAGCCTCTCATCGATGTTCGGTCTCGCGGAGCTGCTTGTTTGCTGTATTGTAACAACGGGTTATTATGCTCTCAGCCCGGCAGACATGTGAACGCCTGGCCAAGAGGTGATTTGCACACCCAAAGGCTGACGGGTTGGTCCATCGTCCCGCCTCAGATTTTCCGCCTCCCTTTTCCCCAGCCTCGTCCGGGTCAGAAAGGCGCAAGTTAGGATGAACTTCTCTTTTCAGCCTGCTCAGTGGGACTTTGTTATATTTGAACCGATTATCGGGAAACAAGAGTGTGTTGTGTGTTATGCAACGGAAGCTGACCTCCCGCAGGTAAGTGCCATGAAGCAAACGGTTTGCCGGTGGGCTGGGCTGGGGAGAACGGAGGGAAGGGCTTCGTTTGCTTTGTTTCGATACAGAATTTCCGCCTGGCGCGCGCCCGTTCTTGTCTTACATTTCCGAACATTCTTTGATGGTATTCCATGTTGTGACGCACAATGCCGTACTATGATGTACGCTTCTACCTGCCGGTTCCGGCCAGTCTCTATTCTAGCTCTGTTCTCCTCCCTTTCTTCCTCCTCAGCGGCTTTTTGGAGTAAATGGAGACATAAGAGTTGTCGTCTTTGCTGATAATACGCAGTATCAAGCTTCTGGGCATTCCCCGGTGTCCTGGAAGGATGCAGCAACTACCCGCGGGTATCGAACAGAGGAATGTTGTGGCTTTCCGCTGGGCGCCGCGTCCTGCCTGTCCTACATCTTTCACGTGGCGGGCAGACATTTCATCTTCTCTCTGCCCTTCCATACCACCGTCGATGTTGTGGGTATCCAACCAATGGACGGGAAGCTTTCCATCTTTCGTTCCTCGTTTTGTCCCCGCGAGATCGCGAGAGTAACACATACATCGCGCACACGCGCGCACACGCACAACGAGATTTCTCCCACGCTCGTGGCTTGAAGCCATGTGGTGCTCAAGTCTCACAATGGAATCACAAACAAAGTCTAGTCTGTGGCGAATTGCTTAGGGTAGTCCACGGCGTCGCTGCCTGACAGCTTACTGGAGGGGGGGGGGGGGGGTCCACGCCATTGCCATGCCTATAGACTGATTAAAGACAGGTTTCCGCTCTTCCGAGTACGATCTAAACGTGCCGTGGCATCCACGCATCTCGGGCCCCCCTTTTTCCTTGTCTGTCTTCGAGAAGACGGCTTTTGGCGTTTAAACCAAGAGATTCACTGGGAAACCATCACAAAAACCACTTGTGCTGTCCCACCGCGCCCACCTACCTAGGTATTAGGATAAGTCCATCGGACGCGGGGCTTAGGAACCGCAGTCCCGGGTTGAATTTTGTGCCTCTGCTTCTTGACTAAAGGTAGTTGACGGCGGCGGCTATCAGAGTCTAGACCAGCGCAGCACAGATGTGTTCCTATCTTTGTTGGGTTTACACCACATTGGACTCGGCTGCCCGCTAGAGGGGGGAGAAGAATCAAAAAAACAGCGTGCCTGGTTTTAGGCCGGCTTGCATCGTGTGCCCGTTTCTGACCTGCTGTTTTCCTTACGCTGCTTGATACACTTTACAGCCTCCATGGCCTGATTATCTGATCCCACGTAGGTACTCACAGACATAGAGTCGTTCACGTGGCTCAGTGAAAAGGGGAGAAGGCGAACTTTGTCCGGATTCCGTGTCGTGCGTGTGCGTAGCGGGCAGCGAAGTCCGCCGTCTGATCGAGATGCCGGGAATTCAGGTGGACACGTGCATGCTCTCTCCGGATTTAGGTTAAATGTCCTTTTTTCCCCCCCTGCAGGCTAGTTCAA